GATTACGCTTCCCAGTCCACAATGAATTTCTGTATATCCCTCTCGATATTGGCTCGTCTAACAGTTTAGTCAGAGTGACATCTTCACAGTAAATTTCAAATGCATGACAAAGCTGCTGTACAACTTTTGTATCTCATGATGCTTTGTACAGCCCGGTTGTCCAACGGCAATACAGACGCCTGGTCCATTTACTTTCCAATACATGTAATGCCTCTGAATTGAACAGACTGTGACAGCCTCGGGACCTGACTCGGGACCGACTGATTCAACAGCTATCTGATACTAAGCCTGGTTAAGGCAAATATTTTCCCATGACTAGGAGGTTTCTCTAGAGCCGGTTGCACTTTGAATTGCACAAAAGCAGAGTTCTTGTTTCAGTCAGCACCATTAATCAATCCTTGTTGTGAAAACTCCCTTGGGACCCTTGTCTGTTAGTGATTTATTCCCAAAGGATTCCATTATTACTTCCTGGATGCATTCTGATCGCTACTGCCACTATCCTAGCGTTCAACTTAGTATTAGTAATTGCGAGTTCCTTAGCTGTACACGGCGTTTGTGGACGGCTGCTGTCTATGTGCATGGTCTCCATGCCGGGTAGTCCGATTATTCCATTCCATTTACGTCCCTCTGAACGATTCTGGCGTTTAGTCCATCTATGAGGAATGGACTACCGGTTGGCCGAATGAATGTGACGAAAGGTGGAAAATATACGCAGAATTCCATCTGCTCAGCTTCTAGGTGGGGGCATTACAACAACATTCGCGCTGGCAAGAATAATGAAAAGTCGTTTTAGCGGGTAAAGAAATAATACAGTTTGATTCATTCAACATTATTCCTTTCACATGACTGACAATTGTAGATTCAAATACATGTGCCCAACAATTATCTTGTGGAGTTACATACCAACAGATTGTGTATCCTGTAGTCTTGATTGATCAGGCAACCGGGGATTCCAGATCCGTCTTCGTTTCAACATGCACTAGCATATTAGTTTTAAGTGGTCCCTGAGTCTTTCGGTAAATAGTGCACACTGTAGCCAATAAAATCGATACCCGAGCCGAATTGGGTTCAGATTCAGTTGTGACATCACTTTTGATGTTCAAATTCTTGAGTGGAATCGACAACTCCAATAAAGGACAGACCTAATCTGATATTATAATCCGTTGCCAGACGACCAGCGGTTGAATACGGTTGGATACTGATGACTTTCGGTAAATGTCACATCTGTGGGTGCTTCCTCTTCAAGACAAGTGCTTTAATAGACATCTAGCAACGAACGTATTAGGTGTGCTGCAAATGGAAGATATAAAGCTCGATAAAAGGTGGTGTTGTCCACTGTGAACCGGCTAGTTATCTGCTTTACTTTGGAGACATTTAAAGATTCGGTGATTGTAGAGCAGTATGGACCAGTGAACTGTTTATCGAAATGGAAGAGCAAGTTGTCCTCGATTTCAGCATCAGTTACCATACAACAGTGGTTAGTTAACCTGTTATAATTAGTCAACCCATATTTTGAAAGCTACTTTCAAGTCCTTTAACCAGCTGAAACATTTGAGTCTATAAGTATCACGCATCTTCTCATGATTCGTGTCATTTTCCGCTAGTCCATCACCCAACTGTAGGTTTTTGTGGAATACACTGTAAACATGTCAACGTTCCCTCTGCTGCGTCAAAAAGCGAGTACCCCTTTAGCGAATATACACTCATCTGCAAACTAATTTGGTTCTTTCGAGAGACCCACCTGGAACCCGGCTGAATCTCTCGTACATCATAAACGAGAGATTCACCCGGGTTCCAGGTGGGGCTCTCGAAAGAACCAAATTAGTTTGCAGATGAGTGTATATTCGCTAAAGTGGTACTCGCTTTTTGCCTTATGAGTAGTACATTACAAATATACGAGTACCACTTTGTTCAGAGTGCCGTTTGCTTCGTAAAGCCCTCCTTGCTTAGTCTTATGTGGATTGAGGACGATGCCAGAGCCCTTCGGATAATGACTTGACTTCCCAGTCAACCCAGTCAGGTTAGTAATTGCCATCAGTCCAGTGAGGCCCTTGGAATAGACAAATCAGTGTCTGGTGGTGTATAGCAGTTCATACTATTAATGGCGTTCTTGCATCATAGCTATCGCTTTCAGTGAGTAGTTCTAACTCCCTACCATACAGGAGAAACAGAGCCACTGGACTTCGTGAACCGATCGGGCTGTTCCTTCCAACGAGTGCCTAATGGTTATCTATTATTTCCAGCCTCCGTAAAGCTGGAACCACTGCATTTTTGGTTCACGGGTCTTAAGCTATAACCACCGAAAGGGAAACTTAACTGTTCACCTTATACTCGCGCTAACTTCAATGGCGAAATTCTAAACAAAATCTGGGGTTGCGGTGAGATGTCCTTCGGATTCCCTCATGGTAGATCTATTTAAAAGTAATTATGAAAATCAACAAGTAAGTCTGCGCGTTGCATCATGTACACCGTCCTGGCATTATGTAAACGACACAATTGCTCCTGCAGGTGTTAAAATTAGCCAAACCGTTTTGCCGAACATTTTCGGTTTAGTTCGTAGTTATATAAAGTTTACTCTACAACTTTGAAGTGAAAGGACAATTTATTTTTTTGTCATTGGAATCTGCACATTTTTTTCGATACATATCAAAAATACGTGTAATTGTCGTTCCACACATATGTGCCCTCCCCTTCATTTGAATTAAGGGCTAACTAGGGCAGCGGATCGAAGGCCTTTGTCCAAGAAAGATTCCTCCGAACTCGAATAGCTTGGAACAATACAGTATTCAATGACTGGGTCAAAAAAACGTCTGACAACAAGTGAATGATAATTTTGCGCATTCACCAATTGTATGTTCATCGGTACATTCGGGACCTACCTACCGGACTATCGAACTGCAAAGTATCAGAGGTATGCAGTTTTTAATTTGGCCATTTATCTCAAAGATATTTTTGATAATGCGATTTGCTTTTTTGGAGCCAGACACGACAAAAGTCACCCGATTCTTGTTGTGTGATTAAAAAATTCTTGAAACATGTTTCCGGTTGATCTTAGCGTTTTCCAGACGATTGTCGCCGTGGTGAGTAAAGCAACATATCAAATTAGTAATAATCACTTCGTTATCGTATTCTGCTTCTAGCCGCAGGTGTGATGTGGAACTACTTGCAGTTGTTCAAATTTCATTCCAGGTGACCATGGTTTTGCGTCAGCACGATTCATCACGTTTTTAATATTTTTCCGTTTAGAGATCTCAGAACTGAACAGCATGCGGAATTTGTGTAGCACATTCAGTTGAGTCTGTCGTGAAAACCAGATTGGTGTATAAATGAGTGTGTTTTTCCTAATTTTTATGTTTGTCCGTTATTTTTCCATTTCACACCAAGTAGTGCTGCCATTTGCAGTCACTTTAGTCCTTTTTCTCATGTCGGTGTGAACTAGCGTGTCTTAATTCAACACAGCTTGGTTGAAGAAAAATCGGAGATCTCAGTCGGTTGGTTTATGGGCCCCTAATTTGTACATTTTTCTCAACCGACTACCTGGATAATTCAAGTCTGGGTATAGGGTGGATTTTGTGAGCGGAATGGCTAGCCAAACACTACAAAACTTGGGCCAATCGATCACTTTTACCTATCAAGAATACGGTTCAGACCCACGGACCATTGCTCAGGTTCTAGCAGCCCCGAAGGAAAGGATAGCAAAACTGTTGTACTTATTTTTTCGCCCGTACAAGTTAGGTCATTGTGTTATCTCCCCCGATGGTCCACCAACCCGTTCACACGTTTTAAGACGCTTGTCACAGCCCACTGAGTGGTTCCCATAGAGCATATTCACCAATGAACCCCACTGCACCACCGCAATCCTCAGGCCGGTTAGTTTTTTACCGTTCGGTGGGGTGCAAATACAGTTTCTTAATTCCACCTCTTCTTAAATGCGCTGGATACTATGTTCGAAAGCTGAACACCACATTAAATCTATGGCTTACTATAACGGCTGGACTTAGGTGAAAAAAGATTGGGGCTCAGTGAGTTAAACTGAAGCGGTTTAACTATAGCTTCTCCACAATCGTCTGGCACTCCCAGACTTGGCTTCCTCAAACGAAAGGTATGCATCAACCATCATCGTGTTTCGTCTGAACGAGGAAGCGTTCGAATGTTGCATGCCGCCCGCGGTGATAGACATTGAGTTTACTTTCACGAGCATATGCTTGCTATGCCATGGTTATAGCGCAGTGAAGTCTCCTTCCGAAGTACGACTTATTTATAAAAGCATCATGTGACGATAGCTCAAAATTCACTAACAGACTAAGATTGGTTTCTCCCTGCTCACCGTTCATCACATGGGAGCTGTCCTTGGGACATCAGAACCCAAATGGAACAGAAACGTGGTGAATTGTCTTCTTTTGAGCTGTTCAAATCAGTCAATTATATCCTCAGTTTCCTGTAGCAACACTAACTTGATGAGCCCCAAGTAGACGGAAACCCTTCGTAGTTTGCCATACTAATTATTATAAACGTTGGTGACTTTCTTCGCGACAAACGTTTGAAGTGTGCACTGCAGATAACGCGTAAAAATATCAATATGCTTTTGACTACAAAATTCTCCATCGAGCATTAATTTCGTCGTATCTGTCTGCTCAGAAGTATGGCTTACGTTTTGTGAAATCTGTAGAGTTACGTTTTATTTGCGAGTAAGCAGCTGAGCATAAATCACTTGATCATCTTTTTGAAATCTTCGTATTTTCTTGTTTTTGAAATATACATGTCGATCTTCAACACATCGGTGCAAATTTACGGTTGTACACGTCACCCTTCCTGGAGGTGTTGTTCACAAAGATGGCACGAACCAAGCAAACTGCCTGCAAGAATGCTGGTTGGAAGGCCCCGAGGAAGCTGCTCACGACCGAAGCCACGCGCAATAGTGCATCAGCCACCGGGGTGTGAATAAGCCCCATCGCTACAGGCCTGGGGCCTTCCCTCTACTTGAGATCCGCCCTTACCAGAAGTCTACTGAGCTGCTCATCCGTAAACTGCCCTTCGAACGCCTGGTGAAGGGACTCGCTCAAGACTTCAAGGCCGACCTCAGGCTCCAGAGCTTGGGTGTCTCCTCCCTACAGGAAGCCAGCAAGGCATACTTGGTTGGTCTGTTCGAGAACACTAACCTGTATGCTATTCATGCTGAACAGGTCACGACCATGCCCAAGGACATACAGTTTGCACGCCGCATCCGTAGTGAGCGGGCTTAAATCGGCACCAACCGTGCTTAGGATTAACAACTTTGCCGCGAAGGCAGTACAGAGAAACGCTGCCTACACCACACATCCTTGCTTGATGAAATTCACAGATAAATATATAGTTAGAGCCCCACACTGCCATGAACAGCTATATAATGGATCGCAGCAGAAAGGTGTAGGTTGTTGAATAGGTTGCTAAATGTTCTTCAGTAACTTTCTGGACAGTGCGTTCCGCCTAGACAGTATACTTCGATACCTAGAATCTCTTCCCCAGCACTTGCGTGGCGGCACTTGTGCAGCACATTCAGTCAAAGAGTATCATAGACGAGAGTTTCAGTTAAGATTCAGTTGAGCCTCCTATAAACTACAAATTACTGTGCAAATGAGTGTACTTCGCGGAGAGGAATTTCACTAGAACTAACCTCGTCGACTGGACTTCGCTGCTGATGGAAATGCAGCACTACTTTTTGGTTGTTACTCGACGGGTGCAGGTGTGGGTAGAGGTGTGTGTGTGCACCGTAGAGAAAACGCGACAATGAGATGCTAGCAATTGGTCTTCCATCCATTCATTCAAATCGATGTGTCCACACCTCGACCAATCGAGAGCGTGGTGTGACACGTGACGACATCCCACTATCCGACGGAGGGCAGCAACACCCATATTGCGGTGTCAGCTGTTAACGGCCGGGTAACTGGACGGAAACCTAGTTTTCTGAGGGCATTTTGACCAAAAATTTCGAAAGTAAAGCATGCACAATTGTCTGACGTTGGTGGATTATACGTGGCGAGATGGAGATGAGAGTGAGCTTCCATCACCAAACAGCCAAGCTGCATTACGTTGGAGGCGAATAGCACGATCTTTGGACGAAAATTCATCCGTTCATGGCCCGCTGAGCAAGAGTGAAGACGGAACCCTTTCCCGCACTCGACATTCATTCCGAAGTGATTTGGTCATTGGATCTGAACGTCGTACAACAACTCAAACCAGTCGCAGCCGACAAGACTCGATGCTTTTGCTCTCCAGTCGACAACGTCCAACGTACGCAACCTCTCGATCGGCGCATAGGGGACTCAGCAGAGTATGGGCTCCAGTCGGTCATTGCCGTTATCTACTCGATCGTGATCCACGAACCGGTGAAATTCAATGGAGTCCCGAATCCAATGCAATTGTCTGTAGCCCAAGGTAAATTCCTCCCAAGTGTTTACTGCATCAAGTGTCAGTGCTGGCTCACTTAAAGGTCACGGAAATTACTTCTTCAGTTAGTAGCTGAATACAAAATTTATTGTTGTTAGACACTCCACAGGAGATGAGCGTTTTCATAACGCGAGTCACGGAACTACTGAATGACTTTTGCCGGGAAAGAAATTTATGGTGGGGAACAAGTCCAATCAGTGTGTACTGGAAACAAAGTTTATTGTAGTTCCTGGTACTATGATTTCAGAAATATGCTTGGATTGATGGGCATTCTTATGCTGTGGTCTGCTCTGATTAGCCAGTTGCGGATCTCTTTGATTTGCGTTCTCTTATACTCTTATTGGCTTTTTGCACAGACTCCCATTGGCCCTCCTAACAACTGGAATTAAAGTTCTTACTGCTTCTACCGAAGGGAAAGACTTATGCTTTTCCCACTCGGGAATTACGAAATCTGTCGCAGGTTAATATCGGTACATTCACTCAGTGAAAGTGTTGCCTTGGAGTCTTGCTTTCCAGGGCGCACAGACAATTAGACATATTATATATATATATATATATGTACATATATAATATATATATATATATATGTTCATTCGTTATTCCTTGCAGCTGCTAGTATGTGCGAGTTGGAATCAGATAGCACACCAGCTCCATTGGCAACTT